ATTTTTCCCATTGAAATGAATGAGCGGTCCCCATAAGGATATGTTTACCCTACATGTGCATGTGTGTGTGTGTGTGTGTGTGTGCATGTTTATACAGTATGTGGATTAGGTTTATATTACATTTTGGGGACCAAAGGTTCCCGGCAATGTGATAAAAACCTATTATATTGACGTTTTGTGGGGGGAGCATTTTTCATGTCCCCACAAAGATCTGTGAATACAATCAAAAAACGAAAAATCCCAAAAGTCTTGTATTTTGTTTGGTTACTTAGAGCACATTTTCACTATTCGCATTGCGTTGCAATTTTCATGAACACGCGCATTCTGTTATTCGCGAGAACGTAATATATTGGACAGAAAGCGATGTATGATGTTTCCACTAGTTCACTGCATTACAGTGCATTTTGAAAACACGTTTCTCTGTGCTGCACAGTCCCATTGATGACACTGAACAATGGATATAGACGCATTCCAAAGTGTTGCTTTTTTTTAATGCCTCCTTTTCCCCACAAACACTAGAAACAATCATGTCAATCACAGAAACAGCTAATGCAACATTAAAACATATAAAGACGCACAAGAACTTGGACAAACACAAGACGAAAATGCAGAAAAATAACAAAAAATGTAAAAATACAGTGCAATGCAATTTACCTTCCCTAGTGTGAACATACCCTTGTGGTTAAGGTTAGGGCTGGGTGGGGGTTAAGGTTGTCATTGTTGGGATTAGAGTTTTCCCCATAGAAATGAACGGAGAGTCCCCACAAAGATATAATTGCTAATCTGTGTGTGTGTGTGTATGTGTGTGTGTGTGTGAGAGAGAGAGAAAGAGCAAGAGAGTGCGTGTGTGTGTGCAGGTGCACAAATCCTGTGGCTGGCCACCTGTAATCAGCGAATGCAGAAGAGGAAGCCTGGCAGATATACAAACAGTCAAGACCGAGGAGAGGCAGCCTGTGCCCAACATGCCCATCTGTCATGATGCTTTCTGACAGTCAGGCAATCACACTTCTCCATCCCCTGAGCGCAGAAATGTCATGTGATCTGAGTCATATGATCAGAGTCATGTGATCTGAGTCATGTGATATTTGTTGTCAGCACAAGTTCATGCATCTAGAAATGAAACAAAATGGCCTCCGTTCCTTCATGTGCCTGGTGTAATGTTAAAAAAAATGTTAAAGGACTGCTTTAAAAATAAACACGTGATAGGAAATGCTTAAATATTTACAGGCACAACCCCCCCCCCTTTTTTTTTACAGTGATTCTTCTGTGTTATATTGCTGTACCTGCTTTGTCCTGGGAAAGCTGGAGCTGGAAATGCGTGGTGGGGGAGTGAGGGTGTTCATCTAGGCATGAAATCTCATTTTGTGTCATCTTCTCAGGTCAAAATGGCCATGGTACAGGATGATGAGGGAGTTATGCAGTCAGCTTGGTCAGGGTGTGCAGTGATGACGCTGTTAAAATGTGGTGTTCACTGCCTGATTTCCCGTGCTTGACTTGTGGGGGGTGGTTAGGCTGTGTGTTTCATGCCATTGACCCAGAGGGATAGGCATCGACTGCCGGGAATGACGCCACTCTTTCTCAGAACTGTCAAAGTCCTGGTGCTGGGATCACGAACGGATGAGTGCTGGAGTTCTGCTCTGTGGATTCTGTGTCGGGGCGGCTTCAGTTTTATACCCTGATTTCTGGTGGAAGTTCTTGTGCATTGGCGGTGTAGGTGCTTGTGCATCATGGTGATCTTTGAGGAGCACCTGGATTTCTCCACTAGACACTGGTGAGAGAGCTGTGAATGTAACAGATGACTATCTGGGAGGGGGGGTACAGCGGGAGTGGTGGGGAGCAGAGCTGCATGCGAGTGACGGTGTGGGTCCATGGTTGGGGAGTGGGGGCGGGGTTTGGTCAGGTAGCTACATCCTGGTGGTCAGACCTCATCCAGTCAGGAACTGGCTCTGCTTTCAACAAAATTGATGGGCTCTTTGGGGGGGTGGGGTTCTCCTGCTCCAGCTTCTGCAAGTGCTCCGCGCCTACCTCCATCCTACCTCTGAATTATGGGGTTTGTACTGTTCCCTCTGCATGAGTCATTTACAATCATGCTTGAAATGCCGGACCTACAATTTGCCATCACAGATCCTACAAGCTATTTTGGGAATAGTTTGTAGCAGGAAAAATTAATTATGTTTTTGGGGGGGGGGATTGTCCTTGTGCTCCTGTCTTTGCCACTGTCTGCCTCCCCCCTACCCCCCACTCGCCAGTACAATGGTGAACAAAGCCCTCTCTTCACACTAGTGTCTGCTTGTATCATCGCGTCTTTGTGTCTTCACGTCTTGTCACTCAGCCTCTCTCCCCGGCTTTCTGTTATGCTTCCTAATTAGCCGCCTCTGTGTTCTGTCGCTCTCCATCTCTGAGCCTGTGTACCAGCTGAAGGCGGCCCGGGCCACCCTGCCACGTTTGTGTTTCCTCAGCCGCTTGATGGCTTTTTGTTCCAGCCCGTGCCAGCGACACGCCCCTCCCCCCACCGGGAGCTACCACCTTCCTAATGTGGTCTGTCAGAAATTCACAGTACGCCCCTGTGCTGCTCCCTGGACTCTGTTGTGGGTCCCAGCATCAACACAGAAGCACAGCACAAGACATATAAGGACGGGATCCCAGAGATTTGAGTCCTTTCTCTTGCATGGAGGAGGTGCTTCTGAAAGCTTTTCCCAGAGACCCTGCCAAGAAACGTCCTTAAACACTTTTCCCCCTTGTCCTTGTTGGTGCGACAGACCAACGGTTGGCCCTCTCAAGCCATTGATTATCATGACTATTGTGTGAGGAGGAGTTTTTGGAATCTAAGGATCTTCGAAGGGGCAAGTTTAAGCTCATTAGGAATAAACTAGAAGTAAGTTCCTCTACGAGTGGACCTGATGAGGATCTGTGGACCGCTGAGTGCATCGCACACGCAAACTCCATTTTTAACACCTGAGTGGGCAGGACTGGAGTGACAGTTTCATGATGAATCGACGCTGTGTGAAGCATGTGCCTCTTCCCATGTCGCTGTTAAACATTTAGCACCATCACTGTTAATGCTACTGTTTTGTAGGTATGGGAGTTAGAGTTAGTTAGTAGTTATTAAGCTTCTCACCATGAAGCGTTGTCCTGCTGCCCACCCCCGCCCTCTACCCCCAGTCCGGCCTCCTGAAGGGGCATCTCAGAGACCCGAGTGGCCCAGGTGTTCGACTGTTCCAAAACACGGAGTGGGGGGGATTATTTACATGGCGCAGCTTGGGCTTTCCGCTGGCCCAGAGGTAATTAACACCCGCACCCGGCAGGGCAAAGTGCCGCTTCCCCTCGCAGCCCCTGGGGTCCTTTGCACGGCAACACGTCGTACACCTATATTTGGAATGGAGCGGCAGTTCACTCTGGAATGGGGGTGGGAGGGTGTGACAGCGTGCCAGGCCGAGACTGGGTAGGGGTGAGACGTAAGAGAAGATGGAGTGACACAGGGAGACGGAATAGAGAGAAGGAGAGAGGGAGTGTGAGAGACTTCCTGTCTTGAAATAGACCGGCTGCCTCTAGACAGAGCTCAACTGAATTTCAACCCAATTAATCAAGAGCGGTTCTGCGAGTGGCTTTGTGCTAACGAGTCCCCGTCGGGTGGCGGCCAGCTCCCGAGGATCACAGGAAAGGACGCGGTTCAGACACACGGAGGCCCGTCGGGTGGTGGCCAGCTGCTCTCCATGATGTGGAGGCTGATTTCTGCCGGCATGTTTGTGATGTTTGCCAGACCGGTCCGGTTTCCGTGACTCTCAGAGGGATTGCAAAGGCTGCACCATCCTTCCAGGTGCTCTCAACTTCCTGATGTGTTGCTTTTCTCACCCTCCTCTTCCCGTTTTCTCACTCATCCAGCCAGCACACCGAGTGCCGGTTTCTTCGGAGGTCAATCAGAGAATTAAAAACACGGCCTGACGGATGCAGTCTGCAGCCCATCGCGGCACTGCGTACCTGTGTGCTGTGCCCGTGGTTGGTGTCTCTGATCGGGGGCGCTCTGGCCTCTCCTTTGGGGGGGGGTTGTGGGCGCTCTGGCCTCTCCTTTGGGCTGAGGGGGCTTGTGTCGCTGGGCAGTTTGTGTAATAATGATGCTCAGCCCCACAGGTCTGGGGAGGGGGCTGATTCCTAAGAGCAAAAATCTCCAAAGAGATGACGCACACGATTCCAGAGCCGTGCCTCTGTTTACCCGGCAGCCTCATGCACTTCTGCCTCCACTGGAGGTACTGCACATGGCGGGCGAGAGACACTGCATCACTCTGGATCCCCACCCTGTTCTTGAAGGCCCCTCCCACCGCCGCCCCCGCCCCCCATTGCAGTCACAGCACATTCATTGATATTTTCCTACAGATGACTGGAGCCCAAAAACTTTCCCACATTAATCACCTGTAAAAAACAATATTCCGGAGGAGATCTAGTTCTGTAAGAGCTGACCTTATGAATGGCTCTGTCACCAAAATGGTGCCCATGAATATCCAGCCAGCTTTTTGAGTTTGACGATGTAGAGTTACAGTTATTCATAGGTCTTCAGTGTTGCCGTAGCTTGTTCTACTGCTTTCATGGAAGATGTGACATGACTGGTGTTTATCATGACCAGTCTGTGATACTGCCCTTGAAATGCAAAGACCAGTGTTTCTCAACCCAGTCCTCAAGGTACCCCATACAGTCTACATTTTGGTCCCTCCCAGCTCCCAACACATGTGATCACCAAATTCCTGGTGCAGGGGGCTGGGAGGGAGTAAAAATCTGGACTTTCGGAGGGGGTCCCCGTGCACTGGGTAGTAGAGAAGCACTGGCATAGACAATGGAAAAAGAGCCCTAGTAGAGATGATGTCTAGACTCCGTTCTAAAATTTGCAGGAATTCTGTCCTCCAAGTTCTTGAATTAAGATCAGAATGCTTGAAAAATTGAGAATTGAATGTGACAAATTAATTTTGCTTACCCAACCCATTTCCCTTCTGTAACCCCCCCCACCACAGGGGCAGCTGCTGATGCGAACAGGCCGCCGGGGCCTCGGGGAGAAGATGCTCCGGGATGCAGTGCAGGCACAGAGCACGGCCCACGAGGCCTGGAGCTGCCTGGGGGAGGCGCTGCAGCGCCAGTGCAGCATGCAGGCAGCCGACTGCTTCCTGACCGCCCTGGAACTGGAGGCCAGCTGTCCCATCAGGCCGTTCACCATCATAGCACGTGAGCTGTGACGGCCTCACCCCTCCATGGACCACTTTTGGACTATACTGCTGTTTCACCTGCAGCTCTGTAGCGATTTGAATTAGCACCCCATTTGGGTCCAGGTTGGTGTGTTTAAAAGGACCCTTTCTCCCAGTTTCTCCTCTTCCTCTTGGCTTTTCTCGGAGATTTTCACCAGCATTACGACGCGCAATGCGGCAGCGCTCCACGCAATCGCAGCCGTGAGTCCATGACATGGAAGACGAGGTTGCCCAGGTGCCCGCTTCTGGCACGCACAACCCCACCCCTGGTCACAATGTGCACACCCCCGTAGAGTCTTGTTAGGCCGCACGCGAAGCAGTTGCTCGTTCTCAGGGAAAACAGTCATACTGGCTGTAGCATTTTTTCCCCGAATCAGAATTGTGACATAAATGTATCGTCCTTCACATCTCGATCCGGCTTGATATTTTTGTACCTTCTTTTTCCATAAACAGTGTTTCAGTGTTTAATTCTCCCTTGTGGTTGTTTTTCTTTCTCCACTCTTGTGCACTGTAAGCGCTGGCTTGAGGGTGATGGTGCAGCACTTTACAGGCAAACAAACTCAATTAGCCAAGCAGCTTCAAGCTTGTACTGGTTTCTCCTCTTTTTCACCCGAACCCTTACACTTACAAAACAGAGCTGATGTTCTCTCTTGCATTCGGGTAACAGAAGAAGTGTTTGAGTTCTGTGTTTGAGGATAACTAGTTTGCTCTGTATCCTCTGCAGCCTCTTACCCTTCCTCGAGAGGTGGGTCGAGTCGCAGTGTACAGACAGTGAAGAGGGATGCTGTGTAGCACTTGACATTAATACTGAATGCATATGGCGACCCGAACATCCCATTGAATGCCCCTGTTGTTTTTCCTACTTCTGAAAGGGTATTTTTCAATAAAAATATATTTTATACGAATGTGTTTCATCACACCTCTGGAGGCATTTGGTGTCACCTGTCAGTGTGTGAGAATGCCAGGTGTGTTTATGTCCTCATGTCCCTGGTCCTTCTCTACCTCCCCACGTCCTCCAAGGCCCGACCCAATCTGGGCGACTGTGGATGTTGCAGTTGTATGAACTGCGCTGCCGCCCCACCTCAAACTGCGTGCTTATCGGCAGGTTTTACATAAGCAAGCGCATGCCTGGATGTTAAGGCACACAGCGTTTTCTTTCACAGGGTGTCTACACTTCCGTATCCTAATGCTTTGAAGATCCCATCCAAAATGGCCGCCTGGCCCACACATAACCAGGTCTGACTTGGTCTGTGGTATCTGGTAAGTATTTCTCTTCACAGGCTCCTGCACACAGGATTTTCTGGTGACAGATAGTACCCTCTGTGTCAGTGGATTCTGAAGAATGTTATTACAGCAAAATTTTTGCAAACTCACTTGATAACATCTCTGTTTATCATGGTCTCTGATGCTGACATATTTTGTAGAAGAATTTTGTCATCCTGGGGGGGGCGGGGGGGGGGGTTCTGGGTAAATGAGCCCCAGTTGCTTGAGACTGCTGCTGGAGTGTCAGGCTCAGATCCAGCCCCCCCTCCTTCCTGTCCACTAGTGTTCTTCATTCCTTTCTGCGTTTCTGAGTGTCACGCTTTACCAGGCCGGCCCGCGTTGCGTCAGCATTCCTATCACGCCGCACTCACGCTGACAGGGCCCCCTTACTTAACGCCGGTGCTCAGTCATTACATAAGCGGCTGTGTCTTTTGGGTTCCTCCCAGAACCTCCTGTGGCCTGTACTACGAAGCGGGGTTACTGGCTTATCGGGGTAACTTGTCAGATTTAAGGTACCACAGTTTAAATGGACTTCATATTCACTCACTTACATTTTGCCCAGACTACCTTAAATCCGGCAAGTTACCACGATAAGCCAGTAACCCCGCTTCGTAGTACAGGCCACTGGTCTTCCAGGCCTAGTGCTCCAGAAAGTTTGTTTTCTAGAAGCTGATTGGAAGATCCAGGCCCAGACTCTCAGAGAGTTACTCTCAGCTCAGGGGTTTGCGGTTTGAGTCCCTGGAAGGACTTCTTCTGATACCAGTAGGTCTCCATCCAGGCCTGTAGATCAGCTGGGATGCTCACCTAGGGCGTTGCTGTAGAGACCGAGGCAGTAGGCCCTGAGAGCCGGCATTTTCCTGACCCTGAAGGGCAGCCACAGCTGTCCGATGCTGGAACATTAAGCCTGTGTGGAAGTTGTGTGCAACTGTGCTTATTTTGCACTAACCAGTCTTGTAATTAATTTATGCCTGAGATCCTTGGAGAACTTTCTGTTATCACAGCTTCCTCCCTTGTTCCCTTGTGGGCCAGTATGTGACTGTGTGTGTGTGAGTGTGTGTATGTCTGTGAGTTTGTGTATGCGTGTGTGTGTGTGAGTTTGAGTGTGTGTATGTATGTGTAAGCGTGTGTCAGTGTGTGCGTGAGTGTGTGTGTGTATCTGTGTGTGTGTGTTTGTGTGTGAGCGTATGTGAGTGTGTGTATGTATGTGTAAGCGTGTGTGAGTGTGTGTATGTCTGTGAGTGTGTGTATGCATGTGTGTGTGTGAGTTTGAGTGTGTGAGTGTGTGTATGTATGTGTAAGCGTGTGTGCGTGAGTGTGTGTGTGTATCTGTGTGTGTGTGTGTTTGTGTGTGTGAGCGTATGTGAGTGTGTGTATGTATGCGTAAGCGTGTGTGAGTGTGTGCGTGAGTGTGTGTGTGTATCTATATGAGTGTGTTTATGTGTGTGAGTGTATGTAAGTGTGTGTATGTATCTGTAAGCGTATGTGAGTGAGTCTGTGTGTGTATCTGTGTGAGTGTGTTTGTGTGTGTGAGCGTATGTGAGTGTGTGTATGTATGTGTAAGCGTGTGTGTGTGTGTTGCATCTGTGCAAGAGGATGCTGTGACTCCAGGCAAGTATAAAAAAACACTTACTGAACAAGCGGAACAAATTAAACATTGGCAGAGGGGGAGGGGTGTCGCTCTATTAGAATTCTTTACCGCTCTGCAAATTTGTACATCCGGACCAATTGCTGCAGTGTTAATGGGGGGACACAGGTCTGCACCCCGGCCCTGAATCAGGAAAGATCCGGATGATTGGGAGGCAGCATCACACTGCCAAACCTTGCAGAAGCACTCGATGAGTTGCAAAAAGAATTTGTCTTTTTGTCTATTCCTGGATGGATTATGTAATCAAACTATGTGAATATGCTTTAATGCCTAAACATGTACAGAGACGCGAAAGATGTAAAGAATTTGCCTTTTTTGAAGTGGAACAATTTTAATTAGGCTCAATTGTAAAACAAAATGCTTTCTAAACATTACAGTAATTATCACCAGCGTTCTCCTCGGATTATGAGACGGCCGTGTTTGATGTGTAACCTTTATTCTTAAACCGGTATGCAATATGCATCGCCGTGATCTGTAACCATGGCGATGTACTGAGTAGTAGCTAGATGTCTTGTCACAGTCTGTCTCCTCCAGCGATGCTCATCTTGCCTGCATCTCCCTCGTCTCCCTTGTCTGTGGGAGATACCTGTGCCTGTCTCTCTCGGCGTCGCCTGGCTTTACCGTCCAGCTTCTCTGCCCCCCATGTACCCCCTGGTTGCCTGCCCCCGTCGCCGAGGCCTACTTGCCATCCCTGTTGCACTTCCCCTGCTTTTCTGCCAGTGTCACGAAACACGCCGTGCTGTGCAGTGCCCTGCAGAACCCCGCTGAGGCCCGGGTGCCCACGCCCCCCTGGCGGGTCACGCTATCCGCCTTTTGCCGGGGGTGACATCCTAGCCTGTTTGTTTCGGGTTTCCTGCTGGCTCCTGCTGGCTCCTGCTTAATGAGGACCGACAGCAAGATGGAAACAGGAGCAGAGGGTCAGGCTCATTTCCCTCCCTCTCCCTCTGTCTCTCTCTCTCTCTCTCTCTCTCTTGCAGCAGGTGCCCTTAGCACCAGAGGCCTGTTTGTGTCTAAACAGGGGGCTACAGTGCAGTGCATACGGGCTGGGGGGGGGCGGGGTAGACATTCCTGTCATTGGGCAAATTTTTTTATGCTGCCACACCCATACAGAATGCGTTACTGAGATGAGCAAAGGTTTCGCCAGTGAAACGACAGTCTCTCTTGAGCCTTGGAGAAAAAGACAGCAAGACACAAACACCTGTAACTAGGGAGACAGCCCAGAATTCCAGCCTTGGTTAAGCCAGGTCTCCAAACAGGTGCTTAAGAGGTAGATACCTTTCCCTCGGTCCCACAGGCATCCCATAATTGTGTGTTGACTCACTTGTACTTCTGAATTCCCTGGTTCCGAGTTAAAAGATAGAAACACACATGCAGCCAGATACAGGCACATAATTAACGCATTGTGAACGTTTATTGTTTGTTGAAGTACTATTTGTTTCCAACCAAGTTCATGGCATATGGCATCTGTTGAGTGTTTGTATATGGGTATATCGTCTGTGTCTCAATATGTGTGATTATATATGCAGCTGTGGGAAAAGTTGAGAGACCACTCTATATTTTTAAACATGTGCATTTTTAAATCCAGGTTTAGTCGTGCTGGCAGAAGGCTACGCTGAGCAGCAGGTTGCTTCCGGGTTCAAAATTTCAAAGACCCCAGAACACAAGAATAAGGTGAAGCAGGAGACACCAGGAATGACCTGAAACTACCCAGGTAGAGGGAAGAAACAACTTTCTAATGGCAGAGATGACTGTTATCTTATCCGACAATTTCTCATGAATCGCAGGATGACGTCAAGTGACCTTCAAAGGAATGGGAAACATGAAGTGCAGGTGTGAAGTGCACTGCTAGGACAGTTCATATCAGGCTCCTAGAAGCAGGACTGAAGACCCATAAAGCAAGGAAGAAGTCCTTCATCAATGAGAAACAGGGGAGAGACAGGCTGGAGTTAGCAAAAAAAACAAAACATATATTATTCACAGACGGACACCCTTGTGTGTGTATGTGTGTGTGTGAGTGGGTTTGTATAGATCACATTTGGACCAAAGTGTCCCCAAAGTGTGGAAAAACGTGAAACTTCCTTACTTTTGGAGACATTTTTCAGGTTTCCATTTGACATAACCTCAATTTTATAAAAATCCGTGAATGCAATCAAAAAAGTAAAAATTGCAAAGGTCTTATATTTTGTTTGGTTACTACTGGTTAAGGTTAGGGCTGGGTAGAGATTAAGGTTGTCTTTGTTCGGATTTGAGTTTTGCCTGTAGAAATTAATGGAAGGTCCCCATTTAGATAGGTATGCCAATGTGTGTGTGTGTGTGTGTGTGTGTGTGTGAGAGAGAGAGAGAGAGAGAGAGAGAGTATGTTTATCTCTTAAAGAACAGAGTCCTGCAGGCGGAATCTTGTTTCTGTTCTTTAGCTGTAGGTTTGTTTCTCTACGCCATGAGGCCTGATATTATAATACTAATTGGGGAAGATATTCAGCATTTTCCCTGCTT